ACTCTTACCGTGCAGTTGTCACAAGTGCATCCACACATTTCCCTGTTTCTTAACAAGCCGCCCTGATTACATCATTAGGCTGAGCTCTCTCTGCTACCTGTCACCACATGAGATGTCCTCACCGTCCTCACAAGTCATAATTGGTGGCTTCATCTGATCTCTGGCAATTTCAGGCCTACTGTTGGTTGCTGAGCAGAAGAAGAAGGAGGGCATGAGGAGAAGGGGGGGGCGAGGGGAGGGTGAGGAAGGAACAGATGATGGCATCCTGGCTTCTGATTGCGCGTGATTCCCCCTGGTTCTAATCAGCTGGTGTTACTTTGAAATTACCCCCTTTTGCATGTCATTACGGTGCGTGTGTGTGAGGATGTGTGACAAAGCAGAATGAGCGGCGATGGATGAATATCCCATAGTTAGGATCGACTATCTCATTCATACACACAGAGCTTGTTTCAATTGCTACTTCCACGTCGGGGAGGAATTAATTTGGTTAGGGCGCGGGGAGAAATCATAATAATCCTCTTAATGATGTTTTCCTCTTATCTGCAGCCTTTGTGCCTGTGCTCCTGACTTTTCCACATTGTTCCTGTCAGACCTCACAACACAAATGGGTGTCGGGCAGATTTGATTCATTTTTGCTGTGGACATTTTTTTTTTTTGTGCCCTCTTTTAATTCTCTCCGCTTTAGTTTCAGCCCTGAGTGCTGATAATGAATTAATTCAGTCCTCTGGTGTGAAATGGACAGCTCCTCTGTCCCTGAAGAGATTACAGCTCAGCTGTGACATGTTTCTGACTTTATTATTTTTTTAATTGAAAGATGATACAAAGGAGTATGAAAGGAAAGCCAGATACAGTGCATAATTATTTACCTCTTTGCTGGTAATTCTTAAAATATATTCCATCCTTGCAGCTTTTTCTACTTCTCCAGCGCTTTCTCTTTACCTTACGTTCTCTCTCTCGTCGTGTCACACAACTCCAAGTGTCTCCTGGCCCCGTTTCCCAATTAGCTGCCACAATTAGGGTGACAATGTAGTACAAGAGAACTGGGATGACAAATTTAGCAACAATAGGAGATGAATAAAGAAACTACCTCACTGCCTCCTTTTTTCTCTTCCCTTTTCTGTCAGCTGCACGTCACTGTAATGTATGTCTGTTATATAATATGCGTTTAATCATGGGATACTTTAAAGTTTTCTCCATGTGTTTTCTATGCTGTTTTTCAGTGGCAGTAGGTCAGCACGTGTGCGTGTAAGAAAGTCGGCCATGCCTGTGTCAGCTGCCTTTGGCCTCCTCAGTGGGAGAGCGTGCCGTGATGATGCCGCACCGTGCTCGGCTTTGTTATGTAATCCTCCCACCGCTTTGAAACACCACCACTCTTTATTATAACGCCTTGTGTTAATGTAGGTGTGTGCACGAGAACATGCATGATTGTGTGCGATTCGCTATGCATTCCTCCTGTGACCCCGTCCACATCAGTGAGAGGCGCTTTACATCACAACCAGGCAGAGCTGAGAAACATTTAGGAATAATCAGTTTACTCGGCGAGGGCCTGAGGGACGAGTTTGTCTTTCATCTTCCCAGAGGCAGCGGGGAGTGGGGATGCCTCTGTGCGTGTGTGTGCGTGTGTGTGCGTGCGTGTGTGTGTGTGCGTGCGTGCGTGCGTGCGTGCGTGCGTGCGTGCGTGCGTGCGTGCGTGCGTGCGTGCGTGCGTGCGTGCGTGCGTGCGTGTGTGTGTGTGGGGGATTCTCCCCCAATTAAGGTCCTACCCTTCTGCTGTATTAGACTAACACAGCCAGCTGGTATATAAAGGAAGCTGATATAAACAGGACTTCAAATGGTTTAATATTTCATTGTGGTAGCTTTGGAATACATTCATATAAATATTGGAATATTCTCCCACTCACAATAAGAGACTCACAAACATATGCATCTTTCAAAACACACGCACTTCTGCTATAACCTGGCATTTTTACATCTGTAATTGTTACAGCTGTTCATTAATATGCACTGTCCCTTACAAATACATGAAAAAAATAAATAAATATAAAACAATAAGCTGACGCTGTTCTATCTTCCTAAAGGACTCAGTCATTGGACATAATGGACAAAGCTCTTTTTTTTTTATCTCGTCTTTTTCTGCGTTAACAACGGTTTTATAGAGACGTTTCTCCCTCTCCAGAATGTCTGTGTTCCTGAGCATGTTCACGGTGGACGTGCTGCGAGTTCACCTAGCTTGAGGGCCAGACGCACTTAACAGCGGGGGAGTAACTTAACAGGGAGGACGGTGACCTCGGAGTTCGGCAGGCCACTTTGTCATGGAAGCCCTGAATAACACCTTACCTGCCTGTTTGCTCACTGTTGTTATGCCGTCACATTTTCCACCACAGCGACCCACAAGAGGACAGAATTTAAACCGTTTTTGAATCATCGTTACAGCCCAATCTTTATACATCTGCTTCAGAGATGTTCTGTTCATATTGATCCTGTCGTAAAGGAAGTTCAGCTCTGATTGTAGTTCATTTAGAAAGGAAATCCATTAAATAGAAAAACCTGTATGGCTGATATTACTCTCTGCTAGCACCACACTGTTGTTTATTATTGTCACACAATGATGAACTTTAAAATCATTTATTTTGAGAGGGTCTTATTGGCTGTAGGGTGTTGCAATACCAGGATTTCAAACCTTGATATGATACTAGTACAAATCAAACTATGTGGATACCTGTGTGGATGCAATGATAACAAAAATAGAAGTCCAAGCTACCCTGAAGTAAAACTAAATCTTATTTTAATGACCAGAAAAGGCAGGCAACCTCCTGAAAGCTGATTCAATTGTGACTGTCACCTCCTCTGTTGTCTTTATGTTTGTAAAGACACATAAACCTAACTCTCTCTCTCTCTCTCTCTCTCTCTCTCTCTCTCTCTCTCTCTCTCTCTCTCTCTCTCTCTCTCTCTCTCTCTCTCTCCCCTGCTCCAGGCAGCTTTGGGTTAGAAATATATCGTTTTGGTACTTTAAGAAACTGCTGATCATTAACATAAGTGAGATTGTATCATTTCAAAACATGTCAGCTATGGCAGTGGTTCTCAACCTTTTTGAGTCCTGACCCCCAATAATAAAAGCTTTGGCGTTCATCCTTCTAACAGCCTCCTCACAGCACAATGAAACAGCAACAGTATCACTGATACAGCCTCTGTAATGCAAAAACTGACCCCCAGTCGAAAATATGTTCCTGAATTCTTAAAAACATCTTCTTTCTTCTTCTCCACAACCTTCTGCCGACCCCCAGAAATTATCTCACGACTCCCACTGGTGTAAAGACCCTGAGGTTGGGAATCACTTGGTTATGGTATCTATTATTAACAGAGTGGCAAAGCTGCTTGTAAACAAAATCCCATTTAGCTGTATCAGAGACCAACCAGTACCAGTTTTGGTGTTAGAACAAGTGTATGCAATAAAAGCTGGAAACAATAATACCTGAAAAAATAAAAATGTACATTTGTTGTTGTGTTTGTAATTTAACAAGCAGAAATGCCAACAGTTTTTTTTTTTTTTTATACCTATAGGCTATTCCTTCCTTCTATCTTTGGAGCTTTCTGATTGGTTTAAACGAGCTGCCTCTCTTACAGTAGGAACTGGTGGTGACTGCACTACAGATTAGTTTTTTAATCCAGTCCAATTTTTGCTGTGCAGTTCTGCAAAGGCGTGTCAAAATAATTACTGCGTGTGTAATGAAAGTATAGCTGGTTTATGTCTGACTCATTTGGTGTTTGTACTGTAGGTGGGTTGCGCTGCACTCAAGCCACTTGAACTACGACTCCTGCTGGGACATTCACACAAAAAAAAACACAGATACTGTATATGTTATCCAATCCAAATCATAGCTCTCATTAAAAGAGACAGTAAGATGAAGAGAAAAAAGTAAAAAATGCTGAGTTCTGACAGAATACATGATGCAGATGATTTCCAGGATGCCGGGGCTCTTTCAGGTTGACACTGGTGGCATTATTCTGCCACACAGCAAAGATCCAGCATAGGAGGAGTGGATTATGAAGTGTTCTCCTGCAGTATTGATGGCCTGTGTAGGGACTGCTGCTGCAGCACTGTTGTGGTTGTCTCCGTGTCCCCTGGCTGTTCCTGGCTGTTCCTGACTGGGGACCGGCTAATTGGAGGGAGCCCTGGAGGAGCAGAGGAGGAGGAGGAGGAGGAGGAGGGGAGGAGGAAATGATGGTGGTTGGAGATGTCAGGCATCATGCAGTCTCTGCATTTACACCGACTCTGCCTGCAGCATATTTGATACTGATTCCCTACAGTGATGCAGTGAAATATTGCTGCCATGATGAAAAAATCAGTTCAGAGTTTTTATTTAAAACGCTTAACTTTCTTGTTATATGACACTTGAAAACATATACATTCATGAACTTTCTTGTTTTTTGTCTTTCTGACAAGCTACCTATTTATAGCTACATGAACCGTAGCACACATCCCTCATTTATATAGTTAACTTTGTCTAATGTGTTCACTGTCGGCCATAATGAGCCTCTGAGTCCATCATCTGATGCTCCAGGGTAACTTTGTGCGTTTCTGTCGATGCAAATTTCACAGTCACTTTGTTTCAAGTCCACAAGTGCATCTCCCACTCCTCCGCCAGCCGTCATCATCAACCCCCAGCATCTCCCTCCACATCCCACCTGGACCATTTCTCACTGTAAGAGGGCAGGACGTAGGAGGAGGAACTCATTCCTGCCCTCATTACCATTCGAGACAAGTGTGTCCAAAGACTCTGTCGATGGCTGTTTAGAAGACAGATTTTGCGCAGCTGAAGGAGGAGGTGTTTGTATATGTGTGTGTGTGTGTGTGCTATAAAGACAAAGCGAGTCAGAAAGTGCAAAAGAGACCAAGTAGAGGAAGGTGTAAGTCTTCTTTTTTTTTTTCTCCTCTGCCCTTGACCCCGCTCTGGTGATAAGCTAACCTTACATCCATTTCTTGTGTTCTCTTCTTTCAGACCATCATGGAGCAGTTCAACCCCTGCTTACGGAACTTTGTTGCCATGGGGAAGAACTATGAGAAGGCCCTTGCCAGTAAGTCCTTGTTTTTTTCTCATTTATTTTCTGTGAGCTTGAGGCACACGGCCAAGTGAGCACTCTCTCTTTCTAACAGACTGTACTGTACTGTTAGTGTAGTGGATGTGTATTCCGGGAAACAAGAACATGTTTCTCATCTGATGCAGAGGTGAGAACAGCTTTCAGTCAAAATCACAATAAAAACCTAATTTAGGCTCTTATGTACATAATAATAGACGTCAAAAAGGTACAAGTACTCAGTTTTATTCCACTTTTTGAAATACTGTAATTTCAGTTTCTGGAAACTGACCTGTTCATTCTGCAAACCAATCATATGAATAGTCAAATGGCAGATATTTGTCCATTAAAGGAGCCATATGTCACTCTGGCACAAAGTGTTGAAGATGGGTACTGCAGTCCGAGCTTTCTCCCCTCCTCCCTATAGTGTGCACATGCAGTTTGCCATGTCATGGACCCTGAAGCTTCAGTGTTTAGCCAGCTCTGCATCGTTACTTGAAACCTTTCTACGCTCTAACCTCTTGATTTTTCGAAAGCATTTCCAATATTTATCCTAGTTTCATCACGTTTCTGCTCTTGAAGCTTATTTCAAAAAATGCAGAGGCTTTTTTAGGTCGGGTGGAACCAGTTATATCTGAACCAATTGGTTTTGCCCGCTTCAATTGCTGTAGCAATTGGTTGGTTTGCCATTTGACTCTGAGGGGCGAGGGGAAAAACGGTGTGGAGTAGCCGCCTACCTTCAAAACCAAACCATTCCGCACCGAAATCAGAACTTAGTGGAACGATATAATGGCTGCCTCACTGTTGCCAGAGAAGCCACTTCAGCATAGCATGTTTCCTTAATGTCTGATGAAATAGTGAGGACATTTTATGATTTTAAATCAGTAAAAATCTTACATATTGGACCTTTACAGTGAAAAATGTAAATTGCACATGATTATGATGACTGCATGGGTTGATTTGTCTATTTAGAGCTGCAGGAGTTTATTGCAGGCTATTCATGATCTATGTTTAGGTGTTATTTTTTATCAATGAAGAAAGTCAAGCCCTGTTATAGTATGGCATTAGCTAATCCTATAGAGCCATCACTCAGCATTGTTTTGATAGCTTTTAAAACACACAGGTGTGTCTCCGCTAACGCTGCAGGTGTATGCTAATTGAAATGAATACATTTCAGACGGTCAGGCTTCTGCTTTGTCCTCTGATTCAGTCTCAGACAACTCAAACATTATCCTTTAGGATGAACGGGATAGATAGTCAGAATTTATGTGGGCGGAGCCAGTGAGATGTCAATTAAAATGCTGGGGATGCCGGTCAAAATGTGAGGCCTACACCTTGAGAAATGGTAATAACTTAGAAAAAGCCCTAACCCTAACCCTTTTTGGGCTTTGTATGCATTGATTTAGAGACAGTGGAGTCAGAAATTGGGGAAAAGGGTTGGGAATGACTTGGGAAAGGAGCCACAAGTCAAATTTGAACCCAGGCCGGCCTCTCCAGAGGATTTTAGCCTCTGTCAGTGCACGTATTAACCACTAGGCTACCGACCCCCCAGAAAGAGTTGTTTTTCAAATTGTATTTTATAATAATTATGAACTTTAATCAACTCTGATTTTTTTTTTTAAAGCTTATCAAGGATTTCAACTTCAAATTATAGAGGACTCTTTTTTTCTATGTAAAACCAGATTTCCTAAGACTCTCCCACTGCACTTTGCCTTTGAGATATTTAATTTACCCTTTTGGTAACAGTGTTGATTAACTTTCCCCTTAAATGCTCCTCAACCTTAACCAACAGCCAAATCTCCTCAGTCCAACTAATCCAGAAATCAGTGGGGTTTCTCTCCCCTCCCCAACCTGCACCTCTATCCCCGGACTCAGAGTAACTAATCCTGGCCTTGGTGTAGGTGGGAGACAGACTGCTAGGGACTCAGTGAGCCATTAAAGACCCCTCTTTGCAGGATTGGCAAGACCCAAGGGACTTAGAGGCTCTGATTTGCGGGGGCAGGGGATGAGAGGACATACTTCCACCCATATGGTGCATTCAGGGACATTATTTAACACCAGAAGAAGCCAATAATAACTCTTTGGAAAGGGCCTGCTAGAGCTGCATTTGAGCATGTATCTCTCAGCCTTTGGTGAGTGTGAAAGCCACAGATGCAAAACAACTGCCTACTGCCTTCCAAAAACAGCCTTGAACTTGTTATACAAATCCCCCGGCAGCGTGATGAGGACAGTGTAGGTACAGGAAATGATGGTTGTCCTGATTAAGAGATGTGTGGTTGTTCCTCCTCTTCTCTGGAGTGAAGGATGAGTGACGGATCAGTAGCTCTGAGACGAGCCCCTCCCGTGCCAATTGTTTGCCCGCCGCGCAATCAGAGATCTGGTAATCCTCTCCGTCTGTCTCGATGAGCCCCTCACCACACATTTCATTAGACAGAAGTGGAGTATCCGTATAGATCCAGCTTATCTACTCAGCCATCCTTCAGCTGCACACACACAAGCGCTATAGCAGCAGCAGCAGCATCAGCAAGAAGAAAGTGTCTGTTGCTTGGAAATCGCTTTTGAAAATCTGCTATAGCTCGCACCATTCTGCTTGCGCAACCCCCATACGGCAGACTCGCATATACGCACACACATTTTACTCATCAAGGCATGCAGGAGGTGTGTTTGGCATAATGTCGAGAAATCAGCCATGATGCTCAGGAGGCTCTCAGTTCCCTCAGCAAAAGGAGAAGGAGGAAACGCTTCTCGTCTTCTGCCTTTGACTCAGCTGTAATTGGTATTAGCATTAGCATATGTCCCTCAGCCTTGGAGCAGAGCTGCCAAGCCTCCTGCCTTAGAGACTTCCACCTATCGCAGGCCTGCATCTGTCTGCTGGAATAAGCCTGCCCCTGCCAGGCTATTGTTGTAAACGTGTCTCTCACCTGGCAGCTGTCTGCAGGTACAGGGCGCCATCTGTCACCTCTGAGTTCACCTCCAAAAAGCAGGGGCCATTATTTGCCAGAGATGGACTGATCGCCAGGCTGTGTGGCAGTCGGGGCAGAAATCACTGGAAGCCCTCTCTGCCCCCTGTGCCCTTTTGATAGCCAGCACAGCTGCAGTTGAAATAATAGGGGTCTGAGGTGGATATTGATCCAGGGAAAACAGAAGAGCTCTTGATCTTTATGTAGTCAGCGACAGGGAAAAGGAGGCCTGGCTGCTGACCTCACAGATTGTTTTTTTGTGTATGCTCACGATGTAGAACAAAGGTCAAAGTGTGTGTGTGTGTGTGTGTGTGTGTGTGTGTGTGTGTGTGTGTGTGTGTGTGTGTGTGTGTGTGTGTGTGTGTGTGTGTGTGTGTGTGTGTGTGTGTGTGTGTGTGTGTGTGTGTGTGTGTGTGTGTGTGTGTGTGTGTGTGTGTACATGTGACATCTGTTTAAGTGACCCTTCACCTCACTTGGTTATTACGGTAAAAAAAACAGATTACTTGCGCACTTAAGTAAGCCCATTACATTATAAAGGCAATTAGAGATTAATGATTACAGCTTTCATCGATACAAACAAACAACTCCATATGCACAGTCAGCATTTTAAACCCTTTCATTATGTATTGATTATTTTCAACTGTGCAACGCTGAATCTAACCTGGTCAATAATAGTTTAATAACTCTGCAAAAGACACACTATCTCTATCTGCAGCGAACAGCCCTAATCTCTGCTGATAATTACTGTGGGGTTTAGTATGCATTGCTTTATTTCCAATTCATATATCTTATGTTATTCTTTTGATTTACATTATTATGTGTCTTTCTGCTTTGCTGTGTTTAAGAGTAACTGTAATGACAAGTATATCTGAGAGGAAACCACTCTTCGATTGTACCGAAATAAGAATTTAGCAGTGGAATCCCAAAAAATTTTCGGGGAGCCTCCGTACATGGGGCGTACACACTAACCACTAGGCTATCAGAACCTCTTGAATCAGATTTTTATCTTCAATACAAATCCTGTTTATACATTTCCGTTTTTTTTTTTCTTTCAGCGCCTCACCAAACCTCAGTTTCAGTCCACATGAATGTCATGAGTCCCTACAAGACGCAGGTTTAACAGAGTCCAACATACGCCGGCTACCAGCTGGACAGTTGAACATTTCCTAGAGTACTCTCTTATGGTTTCAAATCATGTCACTGCTGTTTTTGTAAATATATCTAATTGAATTGGATTAAGAATTTGGTAATGTAGGGGGCACAGAGGTTGCAGGGGAATGTACATGTAGGTAGCACATCTGAGCACTAGGACAAGCTAACGACAGCTCAGCTTTGTTAGACCCTCCTAATGTAATTAAGCAACCAATTGCATCGGAGGCAACACAGATTTTTATCATGACACTGCTCTTTAGAGAATTTTAACGAGATTAAATCACAGGGTCTTCTTGTTTCAGAAGGAGGAATGTATCATTCTGCCAATCAGTAAATACTTTGTCAGAGAAAGGTCATTTCAGTTTACAGCTTGCCCTCTTATTTCTCTTGCATTGCTGTGTGTACAGTGATGCGGCTGTAAAACAAGAAGGACAAATATGTTCGACTGGCGAAATGGAATTTGACTCGGGGACTTTTTGACTGATGATTGGAACCACCAACCTAGCACTTAGTGACTCCTTTCACTTTCCTTCTCTACCTGAAAAGTCGCACTGCAGTTTCAGCCACTATACAACAACTACTGAGACAATCAGACATCCCGTGTTGCCGAGGGGGACTCCCCAGCAGGTGGAAGCCACGACTGTACAGGTGTATGAACCGTAACCAGTTTACAAAAATCAAAAGCCTCCACAAGTTACTGTGGCACCCTGCTGTCAAGTGTTCGGACATATTGACTAAAAAGATGAAATGGAACGGTGGAAGGGAAAGGCCAATGGTGACTAACAGCATGTGGTTAACAGCGTGACATTGCTATTTCCTCAGCCGGCAAATATTGAATTATAGAGGTCAGTTTTGTCAGAGATCAAAAGAGCCGGGGAATGAAAAATGTTCCTAAAATTGAATCAAACGCCAGACATTTCATGTCTGAACACACAAAGCGTAAGACAAACTTGTCTGCTGTAATGTGTGGTTTCTGTCAACAAATTAGCAGCAAAGGAAAACAGGTCTTTACAGCTCTTATCTGAAAAAAAGCCCTCCAAACATTAAATGTAATTCTCATACACATTAGGGAATAATATTCTTACTTCTCAATTTGACACTTGTAACAAAACCTTACAGAAAAAGCCATTTTGTGCCTGTGTGGATTCCCCATCGAGCCTGGATTATCTGTCAGGAATGAATTTCCTCCTTGCAATTAAGCATGCTGAATGCAAGCAAGATGCTGCTGAGTAATTACGAAGCAACATCAGCGCTGCCTTATTTTCTGATGGCGAGAGGCTGTGATTCACGACTTGAAATGAATCTGAGGAAAAGCAGAAGAGCTGTAGGGAAAAAGGATGAAAGAGTGTAAATGTTTCAGCATCACTGGCCAGACTTCTGAGAACTTTGTTTACACATTCTGTTGAAGCCTTTTCCTAACCTCTACTTAAGTTTACATACAATCCTTTAATCTTGACGCTAGGGTCTGGATTTTTTGGATTTGGATTTTTTGTTCTGATTTCATTTTGTAGTGCAGTTATAGTTCAATTAGGAGTGACCAATCATGTATCAGCTGGCCTTTGGTGTATGCAGGAAATACAGTTAGTTAGAGATCCCAAGGAAGCAGAACGCATCAGCCATAATGACATCAAGGCTCCTATGGGCAGTAATCTGAGGATGATTTCTTTATCTCTATAAACAGATATTTGCATGCAAGAACAGTTGACAAAATGTTCTAGATCAAAAAATCCAACTGGAGTGGAAAATCTGCTTCATGCCAAATCGTGAAAAGTTTATTAGGGTCTATATTGTCTCACTTCTTGGAATCCATCGGAAATGGTCAATCCAACCAACATTCAGCATTTTTAAAAGATGTCTTCTTCTCCTCTTAAAGGACAGACCTGACAAAGCTTCTTTTTATTTATCGCAGGAAAATCGGTTCATAATAACACTGAGGTAAGCCGTGTTGAAGCCTCTGTGTGACTTGAGCGGTGAAGTTGGCTTTGTTTTTGATCAAACATGGTCTTCTCTAAAGTGGCTAATGTGAATGCAAACAATGCAGTGCACAGAAAATGAATCATTTGCTGGAAGTTGTTTATCGCTAAATTGTAGCTACACTAGAAGTTGTCCATCCACCCCAGAAGGATATATGGTCGTCAGTGGGGATAATCCTATGGGACTTAATTATTTGTCGGTTAAACAGAAGTTTTAATTCAGATGTACATTCTAGTCCAAAGGTAAGAAAACACTCAACATATAAAATGTATTCAAAATTGGTTGAGTATTTTGGTTTGCAGAATGTGGCTAATGTTAGCAGTGCTAGCACCCATAGCCTTCGGTCCTCCCTGTAGGTTAATATCCACATTCCTGTGCTTAATGTGGTTATGCATTTTTCCCGGTCGATATGCCAACTTGACGAAGCCTACATACTTTTTCATCTCAGCTTTCTACATCAACATACCGCAGAACTGCACTGCTCTTTTTCGAGAAGGTTGTGTGCTTGTTTACATCTAGGTGGTAGAGTGGGGAGAGTTGGCCCATTTGCTGGAGATACAAACCGTCGCGGCTAGAGCCTTGGCTAGTGGCTGGGTTGTAGTTTGAGCTTAACTTTTGACCAGCATCGAGGGCCATACAAATATTAATAATGAATTTAACTGACTAGTAATTTGTTGCTGACTGATAAGTGTGATGACATGTAACTGTTTACTAAATTAAAGGCGCACATCCCTAGTTGTCAGATTATAGTCAATGAGATAAGCCTTTTTCAAATATGTAATGTGAAATGTTATGTCTTATTTTTTCTATTTTTCTTGTCTTTGTTAGATGTGACGTTTGCTGCCAAAGGCTACTTCGACGCTCTGGTCAGAATGGGCGAACTTGCCAGTGAGAGTCAAGGCTCGAAAGATTTGGGTAAGTGACTCACAAACACCAGATTTGATCTTGTTTTTTTTCCCACTTTTCTTTCTTGGTGTTGGACTGACATCAGCCTCTGCAGCAGCAGCATCACTTCCCTATACACCTACATCCATATGCAAGTCATCCAATGTCGGCTTCCTGTACAACATAGTTACACATCTTGTTGCTTAAGTTGTCAAATTAGAGGTTTTACTCAGCCCTAATTCCTTTTTTTTGTTGGGTTTTATCCTTGAGAGAACAACTTTTTTTCCAAATGATTGGCCTCCTTATGTCAAGGGAATGTCATCACCGGTAGAAATGGGTAACAGTAATGAATACAGTACCATCAGCACAGTGAGGTGAAAGCTGATCCAGCTGATCATTTATTTACACCATTATAGATGGAAGTAGCATTTTTTTCTTTCTATCTGAAGATTGATTTTGGAGAAGCCTTTTGCATTGAAGCAGTTTTCCAATAAGTTGAATTTCAGAGTTGTATTGATTCTGTGAGGAAACATGAATCCCTATAGCAGTTGTCAAGAGGCTACATCGTATGTGCTGTGTTTGCCAATAAGATGTTTCTGTGATCTGGTTCCAAACATAGAGGTCAACTGGAGAAGCAACATCTGGTCCTCTCGCCGCGAGTCGTTTCCTAGGTGATCTCTGTCTGTATTTACTGTCAGCAGCCCTAAGGAAAATCAGCTCCTGTTTGAAAAGTTTCCCTCTCTCACTGATTGTGCTTTCCACTGCTTGATCTGTGTAGAAGTAGCTGTTGATTTGACGGGGCTTTTGTTGCAGCTAAGCTAAGATCCAGTTTGGGTTTCCACCAGCTCAGCCAGCCGGGGACTGACATGAAAGTGCTCTCAGGATGTCAAATGCAGAAAGCGACCCTCTCTCTCTCTCTCTCTCTCTCTTCCTCTATCTCTCTCTATTGTGGTACTTGTGTGAGGTTTCCCGTTGATTACAAACTTCACAGCCTTATACTTACAGTAGTGGGCTCTTCTAAGCCACATATCCTCAGCTGAACTGGAACACAAACGGGAGCAACTACTGCAGGAGATTCCATATAATTGTAGGTAGTCGTCTCTTTTTTCTTGTTACACATTTTCATGTGATGTAACGATGCTGACGTTGGACATTTTGTATATATAGTTTGTGTGTGTGTATGTAGTGGGGGGGTGAACATATATCAGCTTACGTACCTCTTTTGTCAGATGTGCGTATGAGGAAGCTGAAATTTGATCAATGTTCAAAAGCACTGCCTGCAGGAAGATTTGCAAGGGACTGGATGTTTGCAATGACTTATTCTGCTAGTGAAAATACTCAGTCTATATGTCTGGTTTTTGTTTTTCTGAGTTCATCCAGTCTGAGTCTGTCTGTGCAGCTCTGACTAGAAAGAGAAACGGTTCAAAAACTATCTGCTACTGATGTTCACTGGAAAATTGTAGTGCATGACACCAGCGTTCCACAGGGTGGGATTGATGTTGTTTTATTTTCCAGCCACCTGCTCATGACTTTTTTTTGGAGACCCCACCCCGAGGTTGATGCCAGGGCCCTGACCTTCTGTCAGTGATGTGCAGGAATGAGGCCCAGAGCTTAGAGTTTCCTGTTTGTCTGGTTGGTAGAGAACAGAAATACCCACAGATTGGAGGGAAAAAAGGACATTGCATGGTAGCTTAACAAAACCACAGACCATGTGCTAATTGGTGTTTAAAGATTTAAAGTCTTTGTTTCTCTTCATTACTTTCTGAACTACAACATTTTTTTATTTGTTGTATCTAGTTTCGTCCTATTGAAATCTGTGTTTTGATTGCAATATGAAAATGTTGAAACAGTTGAGAGATTTATGCCCTGGGAAACCTGTGGCCATAATACCCTTCTCGCATTGTAATTCAGGGTATATCTGCATAATATTTAAGCAATTAACATCTATTAGTTATACATTTCAATCTAAAATTGGATTGTTATTTAGGTTTCTGTAAATTTCCCTGATATCTGGTTTGAATTGGTGTGTTTATTAGGGCAGGGAATCTTTGGGTGTCTCATGATTCGATTTCGTTTCTTGGGGTGACGATTTGATTCAGAATCTATTTTTGACGATTCTGGATCCAGGGATTCAAAGTCTATTTTTGAATTAGTAAATACTTCAGGATCTACTCCACTCATCTGCGAGACTGGCTGAATTTCTTGCTTCTCCACTTGGAATTCTACTGAGTTAAAGAGCTAGCCTTAGCACTTAGCAGAAAGTGACTGATTAGCCCCCCCCCAAAAAAATGGAAATTATGAATCTATTTAAAATCTCAGAAGATAGGAATCTCAAATTTGTACATTTCCTCCACCTCTAGTGTTTATGCTCAGTTCTTGAGCTTTTGGCTTCATTCTGTGCAACAGGTGGATGCTGAGGCATGCTGTCCATTTGTGTATACACTGTACAATTTCCACACACACACCATTGTTGTGTGCAAGATGCCAATCAAGTATGATAAACAACACCCACACCCACGTCTTGAATAATGGTCCAAACAGCATCAGATATGATATTAAGTGTTGCTGAGAGGTATATTTTGTGTCTCTCGGGCAAATCTCTCTGTCGTCATGATTGTGGCTTGCTCGCTTTGATTCCCTATTTTAGCTGAGTTTCAGTATTTTGTCCAGATTTCACAACAATAACTGATACAGATATGTGTAAGTGTAATCTTCTATTTGCGTAGCCTAACAAACACTACACTGCATCCAAGATTCTCCCCTCTCACAATCAACTATACCAGTGTCATGATCAGTTGCCATAATAAGATAGTGAATTATTGATTGGCTCATTATCTTTAAAATGATAAATATCTGAAATGTATCTGCCTTGTATGCATTTGCTTCCTATGCGCCTATTCGTTTGCTCTCCCCTCTTTATAGCCTGTTCGTTAATTCCACAGAGACTTGTAAGAGACGGGTTGCAAATGGTCCCACCTACACACCTAAGAGTCGGCAGCTGCTCTCCATCTCTCTCTCTCTCTCTCTTCCTTTCTCCCTCCCCTTATTCCTTCTGTCTTTACCTTACACATACACAAACACACAAAGAAACACACACACACACATGCACAGATATGTATATTATTCTCAAACAGGGAATGTCATAACTTGATCAATTGAATGCCCATATCGTCAACTAAACAACATCCACTACGCGCTCTAGAACACAGCATTTACCACAGAAATCAACCTGACAATATGTCCATGTGTGTATGTCTTCATGCCTTTTCTGCTTACATGGCTGTGTGCATTTTCTATGCATTAACCTCCTGTCAGCTCTAAGTGTTTATACAGTACTAGTGCTCTTTTAATCCACTTGTGTATATCTCCGCCTAAAGAGACTGACTCTCTCTCTCACACCAGCCCCACTACTCCCACACTATCCCTCCCACACACCCTCCTCTGGTTGGACTAATCATCGCCTGTCACTTTGCCACCCACACACACACATGCATGCACACACACACACTTAAACACACACCTCCCCGCCCTCTTTCTCTCTCTCTCTCTCTCTCGCTCTCTCTCTCTCTCTCTCTCTCTTTTCCTTCTCTTCCCTTCTATCCCTCCGGTTCTACCATCTTCCTCTGCTTTTATCGCTCATAATAAAGAAAGAGTGAGCTTATTACATCAGGGACATTTGTGGCTTTCCAAACCTTCTAGGGAAATGCGGCAAGTGTAGAGTTGTTGCAGAGCTGGATATATTTACGACAATCTTAGCCGTCTAGCCCTGCTTCATTTTGTTTATGTGTCTGAACTAAGAGGCTTGTTATTTACGACCAGACTCGAGCTTACGGGTTTTAAACCCCTCTTAAAATTCTGAGTGTTTCGATTTCCTAATCATCTCTAAAGCGCTCATTTATCTTTGTTTTCATCAGCCGGGTTTGCCTTTCCACTGAAAAATTAACATGCATTGTAGTGTTTTAAAATTGTACAACCTAGGGCTGCACTATAAATTATAATGTCATCTTTATTTGAGCTCTCGCAGCAAACACATCATAAAAGTGTGGGTTTCTGCAATAAATAAGAAAACATTTTATGTGAACAAGCAGTGTTTTTTTACTCAGCATGTGAACATTTCACTATTGGATAGAAGCCGGGTTATAATGGTCGTGCATTTTCAATCAGATGAAGCTTAGGCTTGCTGTCAGCTACCCTCAGATGAATTGGTGCCAATTTAGTGTTTTTTTTAAAAACAACTTATTTTTAGTTTTATGGGGGGGAACAAGGAGAAACAATGTCTGTGTAGATTCTCAGTCAGAGAGGAGGAACATGTTGCAACAGCAGCAGGTATTGTGTGAAACATGAAGATAGTTAGAGACACTGAGTTTTAGCTAGTAGGCATTCTTGAAGATTTGTGTGGGCCTAATTATCGCACATATTGTTCATGTTGCATTGCAATACAGGACAATGGTATCACACATCTCATACTTTCATCATGTTGTGCAGGCCTACAGTAGTACATTGTTGAGATGGCCTTTGTTGATTTTATCCAACCATGCAGCCTATCCTAAGCTAGGTGTAAGAATATATGTTTATCAGTTATTGCTTCTGATCATAAATGCTTTCCTCACATTTCATCTCACATAGTTTGGTTTCACGATTTTCCATTTTAACCCTATACCTTTATTGGCCGTTAGCAAAGGCAAGAACATTAGCCTAGTCCATTGGTTCCCAACCTGGGGGTCCCTAGGTTGGCTTTTTCTTCTCATGAAGTTGTCATAATGAGCTTAAATTGTGATACCACACTTACTGGATCCTGGAAGTCTTTGCAATAACTGTATGTGTAGGCCTATTCTTTTGTGATTCAACCTGTGAAAATAAATCCAAATTGTTTTAAATGTTTGCGGTAATACATCGTTTTTTTTTGTGTGGGTCCTGCGGTGGCTTAGATAAATTAGGGGTGTCCAAGGAAAAAAAGGGTTGGGAACCAATGCTATATCAACAGATAAGGCAAGATGGCTTTCAATATGCCAAATTGAAGATGCATTTAA